AACCCAGGCTTCCTCGTTGGCTTGGTCTTTCTGTATCCTGCTGCTCTTAATACCCTCCAGACTGTAGTGCGTGATATATTGACTCCTTAAAGACTGAGAGTACTAGTAACGTTAGCGCAGCTCTTCTCTCGTCCGTATCTATCACTTCGTACTTGTTAGATTATCTGCTCCTTCGCCTCATCCGTCTGCTTTAAAGGTCGACTAGAGCGAGGGGCGTCTTGTACACGCTCTGGGAGGATCTTAAGAGGAAGAACGTTTGGCTCAAAACCAGCCTNAATAGCTCTACTATAGATACGATTAACTGTATAAGGAAGAATACTAGTAAGCTTAGAGATCTGCGATGTAGACTTTCCAATAGAAGGTGACTTTAACGCCACAATTAAGGTACGGGTGTAAGTATTAGTATTAGGAGGCATTGTAGCGATAGATAGTTACAGACAAATCGTACAGCTACTCAGCACTAAGGAGAGATTTGCGCCAAGAAGAGTTATGCCGAAGCGCCGAGATTAGCGTGGGATAGAACTTTTGTGAGGCACCTCCGTATACGAAAGACGTTGCCACACCGAATCTCTACGACACGTAAAAATGGGTGTATTGGGTCCTAGAAACATGACGGAGGCCGACATATGACCTGAAAAATTGCGGCCCGAGTTAACCACATCGAGGCGAGAGGGCTGAGCTGTCAGTAGCACAGAACTGATTGACGATATTTATAGACGGCACGACTAGTGTGATGATCAGCGTGAGAGACATCAAGAGTTGAAGAGCATATCTTTGTCGATCCATTGGTTCAATTTCGCCTGCTCGTGTTATTCCGTCCTGACACGAGCCTGACACAAGCGCAAGGTTACACAATCGAAACCGGCGAGATCAGAGGGAGCCATATGTATGATGTCCACGTTACGCCCTCATCCTGTGCGATGCTTCGAGTGAGAACTCGGATATTTTACTTGCATTTTTATGCTATCACAAAAATCTCCCGTATGGGATGCGGATTGGCGAAGCCCAGGACTTACACCATCGGGAGTCTACCCGATTTTGACCATGTGTAGGGAATTTTGAATATCACAACATTGTGCCAGTAGCTCCACTAGCTAAGCAATTGCTACAGATATCTGCAAGCGCAGACCTTGATGAAATATACATATGACTAAAGCCTGACTACTTACATATTATTACGAACAAAATATGAAGACAATGAAGGATATGATATTGTTAGAAAGATACATTTCCATCCCTCATATTGAGGCTCCCAAGACTCGTAATCTTCCCGTTTATTGTCTGGTTGGAACCAGAGAAAACGGAACCTCCCTGCGATAACAAGCCTTGTTGTTGCTCCCATGCGGATTGCGGAACTGGACTTGAAGCTGTTGTTTTTAGTTAGCCGATAGATATCTGGGAAGCAGGATACTAACCTCGGTAGTTTGCCATCCTATGCTGGAGGGGTATCGGCTTGATCTTGCTTAACAACTCTTTTGAGAATACTGCTGCGTTGCCGGCAGCGTAAAGTTTCCAGAGATCGTTCTTATGTGAATCTGAATAATCAGAGATGCCTCTTATAACGAGATATTTGCTGCTAACGTCAACGCCCACTGCTTCCATCTCGACACAAAGCACGCCCCCACAGACATTACTAATCTTGTCTCTGCGCTCTCCATCTTTTATGACAGAGTTACCACTTGCTATTTTCCCCTGATGAAAAATGAATCTTTCCGTATGCTTGCTGGTACGTGGGGGCCTTTGGACTAATGCAAATGGGTTACGAATACAAGTCTGGCAGCCAGAGTCCTGATCGCCCCGGTGCTTGTAAGTAGGGTGGAACAACCTATCGTGCTCAAGACCTGGATGAGCGAGCTTTGGGTCGTTTTGCAGTAGCTTCAAGTGATCCTGGAAGTTTGTCTCGCCAAATCCATGGTCGGATACCAGTTTCGCGAGACCTTGTCCGATAACCCAATCCCCTTTCTCCATTGTTCCGAGAGTCTCAATACCCGCGTCGCCTTTATCCTTATTCCACCCATAGTGAATACAAGCAGCTTTTCCATCTCGAGACCATCCTACAACGACGTCCCCAAGGTGAACATCCTCCAGGGGATTTTGGCATGGCTTCGGTAATGGGACACCACCACCTATCCCAACGATAAGGACTATTCTGATGTTGGAGAATGTGTTGAGCAGAGCGCTGCTCAAACGGCCAGCATGGTGGTAGCCGGAGTATCCAAGAGGTAGGGTTGCCATAACGACATTGTGGCCCGCAACAACGCCACAGTAATACTGATTAGAATCTTGATGAGCGTCATATTCCGGCGTAGGATGGACTTCGTCGAACATCAATCTTGAGGAAGGTAGCTCGACGTCAGGTAACGGACAGATCCACGCGACGTGGTAATCGGATGCATCCAACAGCTTTCGCCCATTTGCCCCTTCATATGAACTCATAGCAGTGATACTGACAGACTAGATTAGTTGGAATAATTGGGATTTGTTAGTTAAAACCTCCGCCCATAAAAGGCAAGCTTATAGTTGTTTGTTTAGATCAAGAAACCAATTGTAGCTGTGCTTCATTTTGGCCCCATTGCCAGGATTGTATTGGCGCCTGCTCAACGATCAGGGATCCAGCGCCACCGAGTTCAGCCTGCTGTACCTCCCATCGATTGGGTCGACACTTACATGGGTGTAGGGTTATGCAGTGTGTGAAGTTAATACGATAAGACGAGAGTGGGTAGGATGAAGGCGCAGATGGGTATCGTCGTAGATTGCTAAGTATATATAACAGCTATTGGACAGTGGACCAACCGCGCGATAATAAGAAAGACAGATATCTTACACATATACCAGTGAATGCAGGAAGCGGAGTTTATGGATGAATCTACTAGCGCCCCTCATGCTCATATGGCACTCAAATGGGATATGCACCTAACCATTGTTTGGTTTGAAGTGCATATCGACATGCCCAATCAGGATCACCTTGTGGCTTTGCCGCCTTGCCGCCCTGTCGCAGTACCTATGCCAGTATCCACCTAGTAAGGCTGCTGCATTGCGCGAGTTCCGACTTTGTGCCGAGCTTCCGGTGGACGAGCACAGCCCCCGAAGATGTTGGCGAAGCCTCTATCGAGGACAAAGGTCTACACGCCACTTCTACCAAGCAGCTGACCATGCTGTGGGATCTCTACATGGTATACACGTTTAGGTACAGCCCCTGAATTGCGTCCACACATCGAGATGAATCTCTAGAGGTGGGAAGCGCGCTTTCCTTCTACCAACAAGTGCACCGCAGCCTTATCCTGTCATAGTATTGAGCTGTCCCTGCCAGAGCTGGAGTCTAGTATATGCAAAGTTGCACAAAGAGGGGCCTCAGATGAACTTAGCCCCGGATGGACCTCCCTATTCGGCGCTCTAGTCACTCATGGCAGCGACTGGACATACAAACTAGCTCCAGTCCCATCACAATCGAAGGCAGACAATCAGATGCTTTTTATTCGGTTCATTCAGGGGCAACAGTATCTGCCCAGAACGGCTCTACTTATTCAGGTGCAAATCAGACACAGGATGGAAATATTGTCCAAGTTGGCAACATCAATGCCAATATCGTTCAAATAGGTAATTCTTCACCAGCCTCGTATGGAAATTCATCTGACGAAACCTATCTACATAGCAAGAGAAGTTCCATCCATTGATGTTCTTCGCTGGCTCTATGCATCTTCTTACGATTCAAAGCACAAGAAAACCAGAAGGGAAAGGGTCAAGGGCAGTGGTGCATGGCTCTTAAAGAAACAAGAATACCAAGAATGGTACAGCGACACTAGTTCAACACAACTACTCTGGTGTCATGGGAAACCTGGAGCTGGCAAGACCTTTATAGCGTATGTACTCACATTTGGGGCCAAGAAGAAGGGACAGTATTGATGTCTCGCAGGTCAGCGGTAATCGACGAACTCCTTGCTAACCACATGGAGCGGGATATTGGAGTTGCTTACATTTACCTTGACTACGCCGACAAAGAAGCACAAACTCTCGAGAATGTGTTTGCTAGTGTCCTCAAGCAGATTGCAATATGTAAAGAGAAGGAAAGTATCGAGGAAGTGCGTCGCCTGTATCGCGCATGTAACATGGGTGCCCAAAGACCAGAAATTGATGCTCTGGTAGAAACTGTCAGGCAGATATCTCAGCATTTCAAGCAGATATTTATTGCCATCGACGCTCTGGATGAATGCTCGGATAGGCTTCGTACAGTTCTCTTGATGCAGCTCGAAAGTCTTGACGATCCAAGATTGAGATTTTTTATCACGGGCCGGTCGCACCTGTCTGATGTTTCGATGAAGTTTCCATCATGCTCAGAGTTGATCATTGTTGCCCATCGCGATGATGTTGAGAAACTTGTGCTTGAAAGAATCCGCGAGGAAGCGGGTTTGGCAGAGTTGTTCGAGGACAATCCATTGCTGGAAGAGACAGTTGTATCGAAAATTATCGAAAGGTCGAATGGGATGTAAGAATATCGCAATGCGACTGGAATTCGTGGGCTCGTTGACACAATTAGGTTTCTTCTAGTAACTCTGATGCTAAATAGCATTGCTTCCAGCACGTGCGAAAGCGACATCGAAGATTTGCTTGAGCAGATGCCAGTCGACCTCAGTCATTCGTATGAAAAGACTCTGGAACGAATCAGGGATCAACATCCAAAAAAGGTCGATCTCTCGTATCGTATACTCTGGTGGCTGTCTCGAGCCCGGCGTCCTTTGTCCTACGAGGAGCTGGCTCATGCCGTAGCAGTGAGAGACCGCGACTGCGGCCGCAATCCTAAGAAAGAATCCAAACAAGGTATCATGACGACGGCATGCATGGGCCTTGTATTTGTTGACGACGAGAGAAACTTTCGCCTGGTGCATTTCTCAACCCAGGAGTACCTCCTAGCCCATTTCAGCCAGTCAAGTATCAAACAAATACTACGAGAGGAAAACATCATAGCGAGAGCCTGCCTCACGATTCTTCTGTATGACGAATTCGAGAGCGGACCTTGTGAGACTTACACAGCTGCCAAAACACTTTACGAGAATTGCCCAATGCTACTTTACGCAGCTGAATACTGGCATGACCACTTGGCTGAAACCGTAAGCAAAGATTTGAACAATCTCTCTATGAGGTTCCTCTCCAACTCCCGTAAGCTCAGAGTATCTAGGCAAACTCGACAGCTCTGCAGCGAGGGGTATTTGAGGCTAAGAGACCGCCAATGGTGCTGGTTTTCACCGGAAGCAAGATACACTGCGCCACAGTACACGCTCACAACCGCACTTCATCTGACATCGATGCTTGGAATGGTCCATCATGTCCAGCAATTGCTTCAAGGGTCTGGCACTGACGTCAATGCGACTGATAACGATCTTCAAACACCGCTGGCGTTGGCAGTACGAAACAACCGTGCGAGAATTGTCGAGCTTCTTCTACGCGTAGAATCGATTGACTGCGAGGAAAAAGACGAATTCGGCAGAACACCTTTTCTTATAGCGGCCGAACTGGACGATACAGATATCATGAAGCAACTGCTAACGAGGGGCGTTATGGTTCAAAAACGAGACAACGAGTACAAGAACGCACTCCACATATCAGCTAAGGCTCCACATGACGACAGCACCGATTTGGTAGAGTTACTTATTGCCAGTGGTGTCGAGATCAATGCCAGGTGCATGAAAAATATGACACCTTTGCATACGGCTGTACAAGCATCCAAGAGCAAAGTTGTCGAGGTCTTGTTATCCAATGGCGCAGATGCTTGTGCTGCTGATATAGATGGATTTACACCGATTTTCAGTGCAGTCAGAAGAGACCTGATAATAACACAGACATTGCACCAGGCTGGCGCAGATATACACAGTCTTTGTGACGCTCAGTACGCCATCTTGAGTAATGCTGTAGCAGGCTGCCAGCATGAGACTGTGGAGTGGCTGCTATCACTTGGGGCGGATCCTTGTACCGCTGACGAAGAAGGAATGACGCCGCTACATCTTGCAGCTATGGTAGGACATCTAGCAATAGCGCAAGCGCTACACCGGGCTGGCGCAGACATACACGCTCTCAGTAACACGCAGTGTAGTGTCTTACGTGCAGCTGCGACACGCGGCCAATGCGAGATAGTAGCGTGGCTACTATCACTTGGGGCAGATCCCTCTGTCGCTGACAAAGATGGATGGACGGCGCTGCATGGGGCAGCTGGAAGAGATCTAGCAACAACGCAAGCGCTACACCGGGCTGGCGCAGATATACACGCTCTCGGTAACATACAAGTTAACATCATAGGCGTGGCTGCAATGTTCGGTCAATGTGAGACTGTAGAGTGGCTGTTATCGCTTGGGGCAGATCTCTCCATCACTAATGAAGATGGATGGACGCCGCTGCATATGGCAGCTACAGCAGATCTAGCAACAGCAAAATTACTGTACCAGGCCGGCACAGATATGAGTGATCGTACTCATCGAGGTCGTACTCTACTACACATTGCTGCAAATAACGGCCAGTACGAGATAGTAGAGTGGCTACTATCACTTGGGGCAGATCCCTCTGTCGCTGACAAAGAGGGATGGATGCCGCTGCATTTGGCAGCTACAGCAGATCTAGCAACAGCAAAACTACTCTACCAGGCCGGCGCAGATGTACATGCTTATAATAATCAAGGCTGTACTGTACTACGCATTGCTGCAAGTCAGGGCCAGCGTGAGATTGTGGAGTGGCTGTTGTTGCTTGGGGCAGATCCCCATGCCACTGACGAAAACGGATGGACGCCAATCCACAGTGCAGCTACAAAAGATCTAGAGACCACGAAGCTTTTACAAAAAGCTGGAGCAGATATTTACGCCCGTACCAACTCTGGATGGACGGTTTTGCGGGCTGCAACGGGCCACAAACGGGCTGAAATTGTTGCGTGGTTAGTTTCCATGGACACCGGGTCGCTCATAAGTGACGAACACGCCCTGGTCGTGGCTGCAAAAGCTGGAGCTAAGAAGACGGTGGCGGTACTACTTAACAGAGGAGTAGACATTAACGCGCATGACAAATTTTATGGAAACGCCCTTCAACGGGCTTGCGAAGGAGGGTATATGGATGTTGTGGAGTTGCTGCTCGATCGTGGAGCTGATGCGAATCAAGAGAGTCTTCCATATGGCCTCCCTTCTTTTGCAGCAGCCTTCCGGGGCCACCTACACATTCTGCGTCTTTTAGTTGGACGCGACGCTGCGTGCATCAACTCGACCGATAAGTTGGGACGTAACGCTCTCCATTTTGCTGCACGAAGTGGCAGCCTGGCATCTGTTGAGTTTCTACTTTCAAAAGGCATAGACATTAACACTGTTGATATCAAAGGAGACACGGTCTTGCACCACGCAGCCTGCGGAGACTCTTGCCGGATGATCAAATACCTCCTCGATCGCGGTTTTACTGTCCCCAAGTCGTCCGGTTCTTGGTCCCCTCTGCACTGGGCGTATAGAACTGCCAGCAAAGATGTTATAAACCTTCTTAAGACCATGTATTCGAACGAGGAAGTCGTCCAGACTGTGCACCCTGCAGGCCTGTGGACTCCATCTTCTATTGGCCTTTACCATCGCAACACGAAGTTGGACCAACTGTCACAAAACTCACCGCCAAAAGTGCTGAATACAGACGAAGGCGTCGTTTCAAACAAAAAGGCAGAAAAATGTGGCATTAACACCTGCGATGAATGCTTTCTGGTGAGTGTTCCTTAAACACTGCCAACATCATCGTACGCTAACAAGGCGGAGAAAATATTTGGTCCCCGCTTCGCATGCCTCATATGCATCGATTTTGATTTGTGCCTCATGTGCAAGCTGACTGGGGCTAAAAGCCACCCCCCGCATGAATGGAAGGTGTTTGAGTATAGGCAAGATCATTATGTAGAGGTAGACATTGCGGATTTGTAGACCCCAACTGATTCGTTTATTTCGTTTTCACTAGTTTCTGGTCAGTAGCAGCTGCATTCAAAATGAATATACTCAAAGCAACAGGGTTAGAAACAACCAGGGCGATTCACATGCTAATCCGCACTACTTCACTTCACCTCTGTTGTGAAACAACCTATTACCAGCAAACGAAACTGTCCTTCTTGACTACACCACTACATAGACCGAAAATTCCACGTCAGATAAGAAAGAAGTCTAGTAGAAAGGAACGTATCAAGAAAACGCTAGCAGAAATCCAGATGAAGAGACATGCCGACACACGTGACTGCTGCCAACTTACTCGGACAGAAATTCGAGCAGTCTCCATCTTAACATATCAAAACCAAACAGCCTCAGTATCATTACCATCACTAAAACAGCCATACAAAAATATTCCAAGATGCATGTTGCAGCATGAAAATACAAAACGAGCCCCCCTTTAAAAAAAAAAGAAAACACAATCCTAGAACACATAGGAAAGGCTGCTAGTGTACTCTCACGCGCCATCACGGTACAAGCTTCACACTAGCGCTTTCTAGGACCCACGCTAGTGGACTACATTGCACTTCTGAGGAGACGTACATACTAAAATACTATACACGAAGACTAGGGCTTCTAAATATTCCGCTAAAACTCGCATCCCTTTCGAACACTATTATACTAATCTTACACCTACCTCAGCAACTCATCTTCCCTTCTCCCACACCTCTCTACTCTCCTCCTTCTTGATCCAATCTCCAGTCCCCATCTCTTCGACACTAGCCTTCAACAAACACCATCATAAAATCTACGCTCGAGCCACCTGGAGATGAACCTTCTAGTAGGAAGATCTCTCACTGAGTATTTAAGACTGTTTAACTATACCTACTGCGCATCAAAACTCTTGATGCGAAATCAATTTTGCAAAGAAACCCCAGTTCATCGACGAGAGAAGATGTTTACAGGTCCAATGCGAGATACAAAGTCATATGCTTATTCGCTATACATGCTATCCACTATCAAATACACATCATCAAGAAAAGAAAAAGCGTACGCCAATCCCATGCATATATACATAACCCCCCATCATCTCTTTCTTTTTGTTTTCCAAAGGCTCACAGCAGCACAGCCACCCCTCTTACAAAGCTTCCCACCCCTCCTCAAACATCGTCCTCTTCTCCCCAATCTCACCACCCAAAAACAGGGGTCTGACAACTTGCATCGCACCAGTTCCCAACTTAACACTCTGGCCCATAATAATACACTCGCTAACACCATCAATCGTATCCGTCTTTCCACGCGCCGCAGCTTCGAAAAGGTGATCGGGCGTCTTTTCGAAACTGGCAAGTTGGAGGACCGAATCGCGCGTTTTCTGGAGACCGAAACGCGTGATGCCGAAGACTTCACCCTTGAAGGTCATGACGTCGGCGAGGAGCTGCATGTGACGGGGATCGATGTCCATGTTGCCCATGACGTCGCCGATTTCGCGGACGATGGTGGCGCGGGCGGCTTCGATGCCGAGGACGGTCTTGACTTCCATGACGTGGTTGGATTTTGTGTTGTATGGTTCAATTCCAGGGGTGGTCATGCAGTCTTGGAGGCCGTAGCCTTCGACGAGGAGTTGACATTCGTAGTGGCCTTGGGCGTTCGGGCTGCTTTCTTTTTTGATGATGGCACGGGAGCAGTCGGGGTAGCCTTTTATGACGACATCTGGAATGAGAGACTTGACTTGTTGGACGCGCTCAAAGTATTCTTTGTGGTTGCGTGTTGTTTTGACGGGTCGCTTCTTTGCGGCGTTGGGGTCGGGGACTTCGACTCGGATTATGGAGGAAGAGATGCGCACGTTTGCGCCGGCTTTGCCCCATTTGAGCGGCTTGTGGGCATTGATGGCCGCGGCGATCTCGTAGGGTTGTACGTCAACAAACAGCCTGTTTATAGTATCCCAGTCAATGCGCATGGCAATGTAGGCACCGTTGGGGTGCCAAACGTCTTCGACGTACGAGATGACGTCGCGGAGATACGTTTTTTCGACACGTGCTTTAACAATTCGCGCCGCGGACTCGGAGATCTTGTTGGAAAGCTCGCAAGCGATGACAGGAGTGGAGATGGTGGAGGAGGCGTTGATGATTTCCTTGATACGGGGTACACCTTGGGTGATCGACATACCAGCGACACCAGCAAAATGGAAAGTTTTGAGGGTCATTTGCGTACCAGGTTCACCGATAGACTGGGCTCCGATAGCTCCTACAGCGTGACCGGGCTGAACACGGGAGCGATGATATTTTGTCAAACATAGGGTGATGAAAGTGTCGAGGGCCCTTTCCGAGATCTTGGCGATACCATCAGCAAGACTGTACTTTTCCGCATCGGCTGCCGACTGTTTCTTGTCCTTTCTGGCATCGGGCTGCACAATGCCGAGGTATGCAAGTGTCGTTTCGAGCTTTTGGGCTTTCTTGAAGACGTAATCTTGTACCGTGTCAAGGAAGTCACGCATCGACTCCTTTTGGTCGATCCCCCTGTCGGTCTGGTCGCGATACTCTAGCTGCGTCACACCGTCCAGTGCGTACCTAGGATACTTGTTCCTTTGGGCGTTTAGTCTCGCTTCGGTGTACTCGCGGACTTCCTGAGGCGTTAGACTGGACTCTGAGTTGTCCCAAGTAGAAGTGACAGCATGTGAGAAGGTTCGGTCAAAATGCACAGGCTTTGCCTTGCCCTCCATGTCCACGGGGTCAAGGTTGTCATCACCGTACTGGAACTGCACAACAGTACCAGACGAATTTCTGACAGTATCATCGTACTGTGCGGAAAGATCTTCCAGAGACTTCATCAATCGTCTACTCATGTAGCCGGTCTCGGCCGTCTTGACAGCAGTATCGACCAGACCTTCACGACCACTCATTGCGTGGAAAATGAACTCAGATGGGGTGAGACCGGAGAAGAAACTGTTACTGACGAAACCCTTGGATGCTGGCTGACGTGCAGCCTTGGGGAAGTGAGGTAACGTTCGGTGGTGGAAGCCATCAGCCACACGTGCACCACCAATCATCTGTTGTCCGACAGAAGCAACCATCTGGGAGACGTTGATGTTGGATCCCTTTGAACCGCACTTTGCCATGAGTAGGGGAGAGTTCCACCTGCTCAACTCTTCGAAACAAATGTCACCAGCAGCTTGACGAACACCAGACAGAATACCACCAATCCTGTTCTCCATTGTCTGCTCTTCGTCACAACCTGGGTCGCGCTGCAGCTTTCCTTCTTTAAAGTCCTTGATCAGCTTGTCACACTTGGCGTATGCTTCTTGCACGAGATCCTGCTTCTTCTTATTAAGCTTCTCTCCTGGAGTCACATCGCTGATTCCAAGTGAGAAGCCATTGTTGCTGAGCCATCGCGCAGAAAGTTTGGAAAGCCGGTTCATCCCTTGGACAGCGTGGTCGGGACCGAAATCTCGCATCATGACGTAAAAGACAGAGTCCTTCTTACCGTCACCGACAGTTGCCTTGTCCATAACACCACACATGACCTCAGAGTTTCGAATGACAAGATAAGCATCGTTCTCGTTCAGGTCGGGAGGCTGATCAGGGGTGTTTTTGAATTGCTTGCAAGCAGCTTCCAGGTTGACTAGGACTCTGCATCCTTTGTATGGGCGCATCAGTAGATTGAAGACCTGCTTTCCGGTCCAGAGCGCTTGAGGCTTCCATACGACCGGGGGTGGAATTTCAATCGGGTGCCTCTTGCCAGTGTCCGGATCGAATGCTCCTTCGCCGTTGAACATGTAATTTACAATCTGACAAAATGTGCGCCGGTCAAAAAAGTTGTTCTTGTTGCTTAGAAGGTACGCAGCTGTAATGAAATCCTGGATAGCGGCAATAATTGGTGTTCCGTTTTTCGGGGTGGCCAGATTGTATTTGACGCCCATGAGCTCGGTAGCTTCTGTTCGGGCTTCTTCGGTTTGAGGAACATGCAAGTTCATCTCGTCACCGTCGAAATCGGCATTGTAAGGATTACACACACATTCGTTCAGTCGGAATGTTCTCCATGGCCGCACCTTTGCTCGATGACTCAGAATACTGAGCTTGTGCAGAGACGGCTGTCGATTGAAGAGGACGATGTCGCCGTCCTCGATATGGCGCTCAACAATGTCGCCAATTTTGAGTCGTTTCGAGGCGCCCTCGAGGCGTTCACCCTTAGTATCGAATCGCGAAAGGGCAATAAGGGAAATTTTGCCTCTGTCTTTGTTCGGACCCTGGTCGTCAAGAATGTAGTTGGCTCCGGGGTACTTGTTGGAGCCG